ACACAGGCATTTCCCATGGCTTCCCAAAGCCCAAGTCTCTCCCAGCATCACTCATGTCCCTCCCAGCTGAGGATGCCGACCTCCCACCACTGGTTCTCTGCTCTCCCCCACTACAGCGACTTTCCCAACGCACCGTGTCTTCCTGCCTGGCACCTTCTATACCTTCTGTATGGAACGCCTCCCTCCTCTCCCACCTTCTCACTGTCTGCTAAGCTTCTACTTACCCCTCACTTTCAGCTCAAGCATCGCCTCTGATATGAAGCCTTCCCTAAGACGGGCCCTGCTGTCTCCTTCCATGCTTCCTTTGCCTTCTGTAGTCTTCCCCATGTCCTGCTGACATTAAATTATAGATGATCCATTTGCTTTCTTTCCAATTCATCAGACGGAAATTTTCCTTGAGGGTAAGATGTCTATTAATATTTTCCTTGAGGGTAAGACAACATCTACCGATATTTTCCTTGAGGGTAAGACAATGATTATTAATATTTGGTTGCTATCACCTATTGCAATGCCCAAGGCTTCCTTGGCACTTGATGATATTTGTTCCACGCCCAATTCAGTGCACAAGTGTGTAAGTCCTGGAAATGTTGACACCCGGCAGGCCAAGTGGGCAAATAGTTGATATTGGTCCTCTTTCACTTGTGCCTTTTTTAAAAAATTTAATATCAAAGAGAGAGAGAGAGACTCACTTTTTTTTTGAGAGGCAGAGATACAGAGACAGAGTTCCCATCCACCAGCCTGCTCCCCAAATCGTGCAAATGCAGAAGCCAGGAGCTAAAAACCAACCAGTGTTTCCAATGTGGATGGCAGAAACCCAACTCCTTAAGCCATCACCACTGCCTACCAGGGTTCGAATTGGCAGGAAGCTGAGTCAGGAGCTGGAGTCGAGGATCTAACTCAGGCACTCCAATGTGGGACACAGGCATCCCAGCGGCCTTCCAACAGTCAGGCCAAATGCTGGCCCCCAGTCAGGCTTTTTATGTTACTATGGTGATGATGTGACAGGTGGGGCTTGCTTGAGGGCAAATTCTAGTTTAACTCTTTTCTCCTGATTCAGAAATAACTTTCTTTTCCTGCTTAATTTTACAGACACGTTGAAATACTAGGAAGACTACTTTTCTAAAGATCTTTTTTTCCAAAAAAGGATTCATTTATTCATTTATTTTGAAGAATTACAGAGAAGGAGAGACAGAGAGGAAGATCCTCTACCTGCTGGTTCACTCCCTCAGATGGCTGCAACAGCCAGGACTGGGCCAGGTTGAAGCCAGGAGCAAAGACCTTCATCTGAGTCTCCCACGTGGGTGGTCCCAAGCATTTGAACCATTTTTCATTGCTTTCTCAGGCCTTTAGCAGGGAGCTAAATGGGATGTGGAGCAGCTGGGACATGAACTGGTGCCCATAAGGGATGCTGGTGTCACAGGTGGCAGCTTTATCAGGAGCCAGGAGCTTCTTCCAGGTCTCCCACATGGGTGCAGGGGCCCAAGCACTTGGGCCATCCTCCACTGCCCTGTCAGGTCACCAGCAGGGGACTGGATCAGAAGTGGAGCAGCCAGGACTTGAACTGGCACCACAGGTAGAGGCTTAACCCACTAGGGCATAGCGCCAGCCCCAGGAATATTTCTTTTTATCTGAGCATTGGACATGCAAGTCCTCTAGATTGAGAGGACTTAAGAATGGTTCCCTCATTGTCTGGAAAACACTTGTCAGTCAAATGTAAATGTGTATGAAAAAGTAAAACACAAACTCAAGGTAGTCAGCAGAAGGGCAGGTTCATGGCTGCCTTCCAAATTCTAGGACGGGTGATGAGAAGAGCCATGCACCTGCTTTACAAAAATAACACGCACCTGCATTTCTCCCTCCAAGCAGGAGGAGCTGCAAAACTATTTCCTCAAATGGTTGCCTGCGAAATCCCAATTTTGTAAGTTATTTTTTTCTTAAGATTTATTTATTTATTTGAAATGCAAAGTTACAGAGAGGCAGAGTCAGAGAGAGAAAGAGACAGACAGACAGAGAGATGTCTTCCGTCCACTGGTTCACTCCCCAAATGACCACTGAGCCAATCCAAAGCCAGGAGCCAGGAGCTTCTTCTGGGTCTCCCACATGGGTGCAGGGGCCCAAGGACTTAGGCCATCTTCTACTGCTTTCCCAGGCCATAGAAGAGAGCTGGATCAGAAGTGGAGCAACCGGGTCTTGAACCAGCGCCTTTATGGGATGCTGGCACTGCAGGTGGCAGCTTTACTTGCTATGCCACAGAGCCAGCCCCCCTTTTCTGATTTTAATTTTATTCATTTGGAGGTTGAATTACAGAGAAAGAGAGAGAGGGAGATACAGAGACTGATATTTCATCTGCTGGTTCCTCCCCAAATGGCCACAACAGCCAGGGCTGGGCCAGACTGAAGCTAGGAGCCAGGAGCTTCTCCCGGATCTTCCACATGGATGCAGGGGCCCAAGGTCTTGGGTCATCCTCAGCTGCTTTCCCAGGTACCTTGGCGGGGAGCTGGATGGGAAGGAAGCAGAGCAGCTAGGACTCGCACTGGTACCCACATGGGATGCCAGCTTTACCTGCTATGCCACAACACCAAGCCCTAGCTAGGCCCTAAGGTTCAGAGTTTTTAAGGAGCTCAGAAGGGTGTGCTCGGGAGGACAGGACTAGTAACATATCAGCCCCTGTCCAGGGGCTCAATCGAACATCAAAACTGGTTGTGGGTCCAAGAACAGGATGCTTTTTATAAATCTCAAGTGCCAGTGCAGCTGCTGGAGAACACGCTGAAAGGGAACAGATGGCTTGATCTTGACATGTTTAGCACACAGCTGCACGTTCTGCTCGGGCATTTAGCTGGCGTCTGAAAGAGACATGTTAAGAGATTCCAGGTTCATGAACCACAATGAGGCCTGCTTCCCCTAAAGTCTATGACTAGTAAGGTTTATCGTAAAGTCACCCATGCTCCATTACACCCCTGTTTAGTTCCCTGTACCCCATTACTCTCTGTTACAAAAATCAATAATCTACAGACTCACAGAGGAAGAGGTGGGAACAGAAATGGTGGAATGGAAACTAACAGTTACTAATGCAGAGCTAACAATTACCGAGCGTTTCCTATGTTGGAGGCACTGTGCTGGGTATTTTACATGCCTTATCTCACTTCTTCCAGACCCACTGAAGCAGGTGCAGTTATTTTCCCCCTTTTTAATGATAAGGAAGCTGAGGCTCAGGACCATCCTAGCTAAGGCCATAGGTTGCTAACTCTAAGACCCCCTTTCATCACTCCTCTAGGTACCTGCTATTTGAAGCATGCGTGCTACAAGGCAGAAAGGTTTCAGTTTATAAAGGTTAAAGCCTGGGGTAGGCACTGTGGCACAGCAAGTTAATCCGTCTCCTGGGACACCTGCATTATGTATCAGAGTGCCGAGATCTAGTCATGCCTCCACCCCCAATCTAGTTTCCTGCTAAGGCACCTACGAAGCAACAGATGATGGCCCGAGTACTTTGGTTCCTGCCATACATGTGGGAGACCCGGATGGAATTTCTATTTCCTGATAGCTGCAGCTGGGCCATCTTCTGCTGCTTTCCCAGGCGCATTAGCAGGGAGCCAGATCGGAAGTGGAGCAGCCGAGACTTGAACCTGAGCCCATGTGGTATGGTGGTGCTGTAGGCTGGGGCTTTAACCTGCTGTGCCACAGCACCAGCTCCATGGTGGTAACTATATCACAGGAGCCTGTTGGAGATGAGGACAAATGCAGGCTATGCAAAAAGAAACATGAAATCAGGAGAAGCAGCAGGATCTGGAATGCTGACTGTAGGTACTCCTGGCTAAGTGTTTCCCCAACACTCCAAGGGGGAGGAAGCTAAAGCATCTGATTGTTACACTGGAGACTCTCAACTCACCGCCCTTACCCGCTGCAGTTGACTTCCTCCAGCTCTACGTCACGGAATGTTCCATCGGATAGCATTCATCAAGCCGGGGGCCACCCCTGAGTATTTGTGGAGTGCCCACTCTGGGCACTGGGGATGTGGGGGTGGACAAGACAGACGACATTCCTGTTCCTGGAGCTTCTAGCAGTGGGGGCAATTAGCAAGCCATTAACCAAATACGTGCAGTCATTACAGGGTGTGATGATTGCCATGAAAGAGGTAAACAGGGGCAGCCTCTTAGCAGGAGTGGTCCAGGAGGCACCTCTGATGGGAGATCCGGAAGGCAGTGGCTGAAGGAAGAACACGCACAAAAGACAGAACAGCCAGTGCCAAGCAGAGACTGAGGGGCGGTGCTCAGAACTGGAGGCTTGGTAGACCTGGTTCTCCTGCTCTGATGTGCAAGACCAAGTTCTGGACACTTGTTTTGTCAAGGAGCCATAATAGGGCCTATTGTTTTGTACGTCAGCAAGAAATACATCTTTTTCATCCTCTTGAAAAAAAAAAGTCCACATTCTGGAACTTACAAAGCACTTGTCTTTTGTGTGTTAATAAAAAAAAAATAAAGAGCTAGAGGAGGCATCCGACATCCTCTCAGCCAACTCCTCATGAGTCAACCCTAACAAGGAGATGATTTAATAGTGGCTGGCCTGCAGTAGTGAATTCCAGCTTTGAAATTGCGTGTGTCCCTTCCCTAGCAGATTACAGATGGGCAAGCCATCAACTGATTTGGTTTAGATACTTGTTTTGAAAGTGACAAACTCTGTTTTCCACCCTTTAAGTTTCTCCCACTCAGTTTTCCATCTGGTTGTGAAAAAGCAAACTAACTTTGCGGATTTGTTTACGTTCTTTCCACCTGAATGCAAACCATGGGTTGTAATCTCCTGTGGCCACCAGGGGGAACTAAAGTAGTAGAGAGTCTTGTTTCCCTACGGGAGTTCCGACCCGTGGCCTGGGTTCAGTATAAAAGGAGGCCGGGTTTGAGACCGGAAGTAGGGACGAGACTCGGCTCAGACACCTGTTGGCCACGCCCGCTCACGTGAGTGGCCCAGGGCAGCTGAGTGAAATTCCTTATTGGCAAACAACGCCTCCTCGCTGGGCCAGGTGTCGGTCAAAGCCGGATTTACAAGCTGACTCGCTCTTTCGCCCACATCGCTGTGCAACCTTTATAGCAACAATTAAAGTGGGACTGGGAGGCCAAGGCGAAGACTCGCTCTTGAAAAGACGTGACCGAAGCTTGCAGCGACAGAAGATGCACCGGCCAGGTCACAAGAGCTGATTAACCAATCTCCGGGAGAGCAGAAAGAGGGAGCGCCCCCCACCGAAAGCGTGGGAAAGGCCGCTGGGAAGGAACGAAGGGAAATGCTGCTCTCGTGGGGCGGCACGCTGAACTCAAGCCCCACGACAAGTTCCAGGCCTGTGCGTTCGAATTTGAGTGCGGGACACAGAGAGGAGACTAACAGTCTCTGAGCGTCTCCCGGCCCGGAGGTTTCCAGGGCCTTGCACTTCGCGGTCTCTCCCTTTACTCCTGGGACCCTTGCTGCTCTTGGGGACTGAGGGTGAAGTGACCAGCAAGGCGGGGCGTCTGCCAATATAAAAGCAGGAGTGTGTGGGCCACGGGCGTGTGTGTTCTCACGTAGAAGTTGGCCTGCTCCTAGCAATCTGACTTACGCAAGGGGCTTAATTTCTCCCGGCCGTCGTTTTTCCGCCTGTAAACCCGAGCAAAACAAAGATCCCACTTAGGACTAAGTCGCGGTGCTTGAGGAGGGTGGAGCGGAGCGCGTAGAAGGCGGATAAACAAATCGCTTCTGCAGCAGGTGGCGGAGGGGACGACAGACCCCGCCCCCCTCTTCCTGCTCCGCGCTCATTGGCCCTTCAGGGGGCGGGGCCTGTCCTGGGGGCGGGGCCAGAGCGCCCCTTGTCCACCCGCGGCCCAGGCCCGGCCGGGATTCTCGCCGTAGGCACAGCCATGGCCGGCCGCGCTCTCGGGTCTGCGCGCGCGCTGCTCGCCGCCCTGCTGGCGCTGGCGCTGTGGGCGCTGCTGGTGTCGCCGGCGCGGGGCCGCGGCGGCCGGGACCACGGGGACTGGGATCTGGCCAAGCTGCTGCCGCCGCTGCCGCCCCGCGAGGACGCGGCGCGCGTGGCCCGCTTCGTGACGCACCTCTGCGACTGGGGCGCGCTGGGCACCATCTCCACGCTGGAGGCGGTGCGTGGCCAGGCCTTCGCCGACGTGCTCTCGCTCAGCGACGGGGTCCCCGGAGGGAGCACCGGCGTGCCCTACTTCTACCTGAGCCCGCTGCAGCTCACCGTGGGCAACCTGCAGGTGAGCCCCAGGGCCGCGGCGGCGTCGGGGCGCTGGGGGAGCGGCTGCCCGCGCGGGAGCGCGTGGCTCCTCCAGATAGGACTGAACCCGGCGCAAACGACCACCTCGGGTGTCGTCGCCAGCCAGGCCGGCATTGCAGCGTCCCAGGTGTTGGGGAAGCAAGGGCCGGGAACTTGACTCACGCCCCCGCGCTGGGAGACGCACCTGGGAGAATTACTTCCCAGCACCCCAGGACGTCTCGTCTCGCTGTGTCTGCATTTCCTGGGCCCATATTTTGCTACAGGGTTTTCAGGGTGCAGACCTGGTGGGTAGTTAAGCACTTTGCAGAGGTGACTTTGGGTTTCTTGTTCCCACCTCTCTTTCTGAATTAATTTTCCCTTCAGCAGCAAAAAGCTCACAGACAACACCGTGGGAAGCAGACTGATTTATTATTATTTTTAAAAGATTTTATTTTTTCAGAGGCAGAGACAGAGAGGTCTTCCATCCGCTGGTTCACTCCTCAAATGGCCACAATGGCTGGAGCTGGGCCAATCTGAAGCCAGGAGCCAGGAGCTGCTTCTCCCACATGGGTTCAGGGATCCAAGGGCTTGGACCATCTTCTGCTGCTTTCCCAGAAGCATTGACAGGGGAGCTGTTGGAAGTGGAGCAGCTGGGAATTGAACCAGCAACGCTGCAGGCAGTGGCTTTACTGGCTATGCCACAGCTCCAGGCCTTAGCAGACTGATGGAAAGCACATCTCCTCCCCACTTTCTGGGCCAGGGCCCAGAGCCCAAGCCTGCAACTCTGGTGGACCTCTGCTGTCCCAAGGGCAGGGCCTCAGACGCACATCTCTGAGACTAGAGTCACACAGAGCCTAGGAATGGGGCCTGATTTGATAAGAAGGTCCTTTTGACAAAGACCAGGCCGTCCTCAAGTTCCACTCTCCGTTCATGGTCCCATTCTGCAGATGAAGAACATGAGGCTTGTTGGGGTTGTCACCCACCCAAAGCCAGCTCACAGTCTGGTGGGCCAGGGGCAACCTACGTCCCCACACACTGGTGTTCTTTGGCCCACACAGAATTCTGTTTTGCTTTTGTTAAGTTAGAATTAGTTTACAACATTGAAAATTCAGATTTTACTTAAGTCTGAATTTCTACCTCTTCTTGAAAAACTGGAAGGTGGCTTGACCTTGACCTTGAGGGCCTACATTCTCGGAGCGAAAGCAGGAGTGGCTGTTCCCTTTAGCCAAAGCCCAGATGCCCCTGCCTGCCATTTTCCTATTCTCAGCTCTCTCCACTCCCTTAGGGATTTACCCAACACAGCTAACTCTACTTCACTGCTGCTCAACTTTGGCTGCAGGTCAGTGTCCTGGAAGACGTGGGAAAATGCAACTGCGGTGCCAAGGCCTTTTGTTAAAGGCCCATTTGATTCTTTTTTTTTTTTTTAATTTTTTGACAGGCAGAGTGGACAGTGAGAGAGAGAGAGACAGAGAGAAAGGTCTTCCTTTGCCGTTGGTTCACCCTACAATGGCCGCCGCGGCCGGCGCGCTGCGGCCGGCGCACCGCGCTGATCCGATGGCAGGAGCCAGGAGCCAGGTGCTTTTCCTGGTCTCCCATGGGGTGCAGGGCCCAAGCACCTGGGCCATCCTCCACTGCACTCCCTGGCCACAGCAGAGGGCTGGCCTGGAAGAGGGGCAACCGGGACAGAATCCGGCGCCCCGACCGGGACTAGAACCCGGTGTGCCGGCGCCGCTAGGCGGAGGATTAGCCTAGTGAGCCGCGGCGCCGGCCAAGGCCCATTTGATTCTAAACTCGCCCTCAAAATAACTTCCTGATAATAATTCTAATGGAGAAGAGAGAGAGAGAGAGATGGAAACACCATGGCCATACATAATCAAATAAATAAGTAAATACCTTTGGGAGATATGAATGGAGTTTGGCGCAGTAGTTAAGATACTGTTTGGGGGTGCTGGCATCACCTGTCAGAGAGCCTGGGGCTGAGTCTCAGCTCCAGCTTCCTGCTAATGCACACCCTCGGGGGCAGCAGGTGGCACTTGAGTCCCTGTCACCCACATGGGACGTCTGGATTGAGTTCCATGCTCCTGGCTCCAGGCTGGCCCAGCCCTGGCTTTCACAGGTGCCCGCACAGTGAATCAGCAGATGGCAGTCCTCTCTGTCTCGACCTTTCTGGGTAGGTAGACAGACAGACAGATAAGATAGATTTGTGAGATAACTAGGCAGCTTCGGTCACCACCCCCTCTCAGGAGTGAGGGAATGAAAACGCACATGCAGGCAGCTCTGCCTAGGCAAGGCCTGCTCGAGGCCTCAGCCAGCCTGAAGACTTCCAGCCCCTCTGCACTCCAAGGCAATTTTCGGGGATTGTGTCTCAGGGATTTTGAGGCAGGAGATGGCTAAAGGTTAATGGGGGAGGCAAAAAGAAAGAAGAACATTTCAGAGTTATAAAATTAAAAATCTGCTTATTTCTCTTCCTGTTGGAGATGTTGCTTACGTAAGATCATGGCCCAGCAAAGAAAAGGAAAAACAACGCAGTTAGGTTACATCCTGAGAAACGTATGTCCCCAAGAGATAGGAAAGTTAAACATCGCCTGTTTGCCTGTCTGTTTATGAATCGTGCCGTAGTGGGTAGAGCCTCCACCTGCAGGGCCGGCATCCCATGGGGGCACCAGTTTGCATTCTGGCTGCTCCACTTCAGATCCACCTCTTTGCTAAGAGCCTGGAAAAAGCAGCCGAAGATGGTCCAAGTGTTTGGGCTCGTGTCACCCGTGTGGGTTACCTGGGTGAAACTCCTGGCTTTGACCTGGCCCAGCCATGGCTGTTGCAGCCATCTGGGGAGTGAACCAGTAGATGGATGATAACTCTGTGTCTCCCTCCCTCTCTCTCTGTAACTCTGCCTTTCAAATCGCATACAGGCCCCATTTGTCTAGTGACATCTCCCAAGGATTGCCACAAAGATTGCTTAGTGGAGATAAAATTCCTTAAGAAATTCCTAACTTAGATTAAATCTTGGGGAACACCTGTTTAAACAAAAAGCTTCCCAAAGGATCGATGTCACAAGGGACAAAACAGGAAAGGACAAAACAATGAATGGATCAAATGAGATTGAGACACAACTCTCAGTTCCCCATCACAAAAAAATCCAGCCTCCTGGCGGTTTCCATGGTAACCCTCCTCTGCCCCTCACCCTGAATAGACTCTCAGCCCTGACAGCCCAGGGTGCGCCTGAGTCCTCACTGTCATGTGCAGTGCGCACCCCCGTATTCTCAGAGGTATACTTTCTTTCGGAGTAAACTATTGCTGTCTTTTCCAAGAAAAAGATTCAGGAGCAGGGGCTCCTCTGACAACAGCCGCTGATGGCTGTCAGGTAGGGCTCCAGCCCAGGTCTCTGCCACCTTGAGAAAGAGACATTGGTGAGCAACCCACTTGGGAGTTCTGGTTTCTACACTAGCCCTGAAAGGCGAGGCCACGTTAGAATTTCTCTGACTCTGATTCTGTCAACTCCCTCCCTCCCCACTGTGGACATCCAGGGTGCACTTCCTGTCTTGTCCTTGAGGGTGTAGAATAATTAGGAAGGAATGAGGAGGCCTGGGTGTGGCCCACTTCTCCTGGGTAAACGCCTGTGCTTTGGCACTCAGCGATCACTGGAGAGCCCTGAGTGGATTGGCAGCCAGGATGCTTCACTGGGTTTTGTCTTGGTGGCATTTTGTTGTTGTTTGTTTAAAGATTTATTTATTGATTTGAAAGGCAGAGTTACAGAGAGGTGGGGGTAGGGGGGGAAAGAGAGAGAGAGAGAGAGAGGTCTTTTATCCACCAGTTCACTCCCCAAATGGTTGCAACGGCCAGACCTCGGCCAGGCCAAAACTAGGAGCCAGGAGCTTCCTCCGGGTCTCCCACATGGGTGCAGGGGCCCAAGCACTTGGGCCATCTTCTACTGCTTTCCCAGGCCATTGCAGAGAGCTGGATCGGAAGTGGAGCAGCCAGGACACAAACTGGTGCCCATATAGGGTGCCTAAAGCAACCCCTGTTTTGGTGTGCTTCCTCAGAAGATCATGTACACTCTTGGGCTGCACTTCCACTTACTAAGATTCACTTCCAAATTTGTGTCCCCTTCTGACCTCTTTGAAGTTCTGTGTTTCTGCTCGTGTGTCACTTTTACTTCCTTGGTGTGCCACCACCTCGGGCATCAGTCAGCCCTGCCGCTCCCTCCTGTTCCTGAAACCAGCTCCCCTTTGTTAGGCTTTAGGATTTCTGGGGCTCCAAGGAGGCAGGCGGGCAGCCAGTTAAAGCAGAGCAGACTTTATTTTAGGGGAGCGGGGTGGGGGAGGTACAGAGAATGGAGGTTCAGCCTGTCCAGACAGAGGGCAGCGGGAAGGGACTCTCCCATTACTGGTGATGAACCCTGGTGCCTACAACATCAGGGTGGAGGGTGAACGTTCAGAGACTGGTTACAGGGCTAGGTGCGGGGGAGCAAGCAGCTGGGGCCGCTGAGAGTGCGAATGGGTTGTAGGGGTGAGAGACAGAGGGCGAGGGGGAAGAAGGGGTGATGTCTTGGAAGGCAGCGGCTGAGAGCAGGGCCCCGTGCTGAGGGAGAGGAAGGAGACCGGCAGAAGGAAGGACTGAGAAGTAGTTTTGGAGCGTGAGGCAGATTTTTAGCTGGGTGCAGGGGAGGGGGAGGGGAAGGGGAGGGAGAGGGTGGGCTTCTGATGTTTCCTACGGAGGAGAGTCTGGTAGGTGACGCGTGAAGAGCGATTGTGGAGAAAGAGAAATACCTGGATGCAGGGAACCCCAGAGCCCTTTCCAGCGCTGTTGATGAAGTTGAGTCTCAGAGAGGGGGGCGGGGGTCAAAGGTCCCCTTTCTGGACCACTGACTTCTGCGTAGCAGCATGTGGAAAGCGAGGGGGGTGCGTTCCAGCGGGTCAGACACGGAGGGAGGAGGAAGAGCCATGAGCATCCTCGAAACCTCTTTCTCCACCTTACAGTGGTGAGACAGTCTCTGAACCCCAAGCTTCCCCAGGGTTAGAGACGCTCAGGCCACAGGGGCCGCAGAGGGACCCCGACCAGCGCTAGGATTTTCAGACGGCAGACGGAGCATGAAGTGCCGGGACTCAGGAATTCACTGTCCTTCCAGGACTGACTGATGTGTCAGAGGAGCAGGGGCCAGGCGGAAATTCCCCACAGACTAGCTGCCTCCAATCCCCCCCCATGGGGTTCAGCACCCAAACGTTAGCTTTTAGGACTTTTAGGGTTCCAAGAGGGCGAGGAGACAGCCAGTTAGAGAAAACTGAATGGGGGTGGTGGTAAAGAGAGTGGGGGTTGAACCTGCCCGGACTGAGGGACTGAGGGCAGGGGCTTTGAAGCCAGGCTTCATTCTGTTTGGGCAGCAGGCATCCTACTGCACCACCCCTCACTCCCCGCCTCTTCTTTGTTTTATTTGAAGATTTATCTATTTGAGAGGCAGAGTTACAGAGAGAGGGAGAGAGAGAGAGAGAGTTCTTCCATCCACTGTTTCACTCCCCAGATAGCCACAACAGAGCTTCTTCCAGGTCTCCCACGAAGGAGCAGGGGCTAAAACACTTGTATTATCTTCCACCGCTTTCCCAAGAGCATTAGCAGGGAGCTGGGTGGGAAGTGGAGCAGCCAGGACTCAAACCATTGACCATTTGGGATGCCGGTGTTGCAGGCAGAGACTTAACCTACTAGGCTACAGTGCCAGGCCCAGAGTCCCTTCTTAAGCGGCTTATTGGGAGAGGTGCAGAGCCCACGTGGACCCAGAGGAGGTGTTAGGGGAAGTGCAGAAAGGCTGCGTGCTGGAGTTCACAGTCTTGTCTTAGCGGTGTGGAGTGTTCCAGTGCGAGGCTTTCCAGGGCATTAAACAATCCACCCGCCTTTAGGTTACCTGTCTGCCCCCGGCTTCGCTGGCCTGGGGGTTTAGGCCCACAGGTTGTAACACTTGATCCTCGCTCTGATGTTGAGGGACTTTCTCAGCAGTCGGAGCTGCTGTTCCCTCACCTCCCGAAATCCTGCCGATTTTTTCTTTGCTTTCTTTGCTCCCATCTGTATTCCTTCCTCTGTTTCTACCACCCGTCCTTGGGCTAAGTCCCTGTCACCTCATGCCTAGGAGTACCAGGAGAACTCTTCAAGTTGCCTCCCTGACGGCCGTGCCCACCTGATGTCCATAGTGAGAGGCCTCTCAGAGCACCGCCCTCCGCCCAGAACTCAACCACAGCCCACGCATAAGGATCCCCGGGTGCTATCGATACCTGGGGTAGCCCGGGACACCTGCGTCCCCCGAGGAGTAGCTGGTGTGAGTCGGCTCTGCTGCCAATTCCAGCTTCCTGCTGACACAGACCTTGGGAAGCGGCGGGTGTGGCTCGGGAGGCCGGGCCCCTGGCTGCCACAGGGGAGACCTGGATGTTGTTCCTAGCCTCTGACTTCAGTCTGGCCCAGCCCCACCTGCTGTGGGTATTTCAAGAATGAACCAGAACAGATGGCAGCACTAGTGTTTCTCTCTCTCTCCCCCCACTTCCCATTTAAAATGAATAAAAACAAATAATTTTTTTTAAAAATGCAACAACCTGGCTGGGGAATGGCCTGGGGATCATGTAAGTGGCCTTGGAAGCCCTGGCCTGCAAAATCCCACCTGGACTCGCGAGCTTGGATTTGAGCCCCTCTCACCCACCCCCTAAAACCCCCCTCCAAAAGCCCCTCTTTTCCAGCCAATCCACTTTCTCGTCGCGTCTTATGCTTTCCCAGTTTTGGAGTTCTTGCAGTCCTCCTTCCCTCTATGGTTAACCCGTCCTCCCACTTCCGTCTTGATTTTGACCTTTGGTTTAGGATGTGTTTCCTCCAGGCCATGCTGACACCCACGTCCCGGTTTCCCATCGCCTAACCTTAGCCTGTATCTCCCTCTTGAGCAGATTGTATAGACTCGCAGAGGGAAGAGGCCTTACCTCCATCCTCCCTCGCTCCTATGGCCTTGCCCAGTAGCTTCTAGAAAGCAAATATTGGCTACATGGGTTCAAGGAGCTCTCTTGACGACTCACCCCTACAGACAGCACAACTCTTGACCAAGACCCTTAGGGTGGAAAGAGCTAAAGAGTGTGCAATGCACCACGTGAATGCTGCTGCCACAGGTCAGTCAACAGTGCCTTTTATGAAGCTGATTTCCGAATAAGAAAGACTTAGGAAATTTGTCTGCTTTTTTTTAATCTGAGGCAAAAGTTCTTCTCTTGTCGCCACAGCAGGGATAAGCAACTTCTCCAGTGTTTTGGAAGTCACATGGCAGTTTCTGCTAACATAAGATAACCACACAGCATGACTCAGCTACTTTCTTGCTTAAGTTGTGTAACTAGTTAGTTGGCGGAGTATTTGTGGTCATTTTTTTCTTCTTTTTAAAGATTTATTTATTTATTTGAAACGCAGAGTTACAGAGAAGCAGAGGCAGAGAGAGAGGGGTGGGGGTGGGGGGAGGTCTTCCATCCCCTGGTTCATTCCCCAAACTGCCACAATGGCCAGAGCTGTGCCAATCCGAAGCCAGGAGTCAGGAGCTTCTTCTGGGTCTCCCATGCAGGTGCAGGGGCCCAAGGACTTGGGTCATCTCTCACTGCTTTCCTAGGCCATAGCAGGGAGCTGGATTGGAAGTGGAGCAGCCAGGACTCAAATGGCACCCATATGGGATGCTGGCACTGCAGGCAGTGGCTTTACCCACTACACCACAGCATTGGCCCTGGTCGTTATTTTCATGCACTGGTTTCATGTTAAGAGTTTAACCCTTTAGCTCTTTCAACAAAGACTAGAGACCACTCTTACCTTTGGGTGCTATAATTATAATTGCCCTGATGAATATGGAACAGATTCAGAGTTTAAGGGAAAAAACCTATGTGACAATAATTCTCCTGAGTTAGTTCATTTTAAATATGAACACTTCCTTTTTGCAAGGGAATGTCAGGCTCAGTCCCTGTCCAGGAAGTATTTTTCCCCTGAGTAGAAAGTAGTCTTTTACAATTCACTGCCGCGTGGAAGAATGGCCCAGCTCTAGGGACTTAATGTGTGTAACTTGTGAAATTTATTGCCTGTCCAGAAACCATATTTCACCCGAGCGGGACTTCACTTTCTCTCCACAGGAGAATCCCCACGCCACGCTGCTCCTGTCTTTGGCACAGACGAATTTCTGCAAGAAAAAGGGGTTTGATCCCCAAAGTCCCCTTTGTGTCCACATCATGCTGTCCGGATCTGTGATGAAGGTAAGGAGCTGCCCTCTGGGGAGGGGCAGGGCTCTCGGAGAGCATTGTTCATTCATTGCCAGCGAGAGAAGGGATCCTGTGAAATAAAGCGTGGTTGATTTTGATTGAGACGCGGTTAGCGTGTGTCCTAACATGAGGGAACTTCGGAAAGGTCATGGAAAGTGCATGTTAGGAAAGTGCATGGTTTTCAAAATTTTTCACCAAAATATGGTTATTTAGATCAATTTTCTTTTTCTTTAAGATTTATTTATTTGAAAGGCAGATTGTTAGAGAGAAAGAGAGAGAGAGAGAGGTCTTCCATCTGCTGGTTCACTTCCCAAATGGCAGCAACCTCAGGATCTGGGCGGATCCGAAGCCAGGAGCCAGGAGCTTCTTCCGGGTCTCCTACACAGCTGCAGGGGCCCAAGGACTTGGGCCATCTTCTGCTGCTTTCCCAGGCCATAGCAGAGAGCTGGATCGGAAGTGGAGCAGCAGGGACTCGAACCGGCACCCATATGGGATGCTGGCACTCCAGGTGGAGGCTTTACCAGCTACGCCACAGTGCCGGCCCCCTAGTTCCATTTCCTATGAACTTTCTGAAGTACTCTCATTGATGCGATTCTATTAAAACTAAACATTGAATCTGTTGGTTCTATATAAGTGTTCGAAAGATATTTTAATGAACGATTTTCTGAAGCCACAGACATAATGACTATAAAGCACCTAAATAAAATTCTCTTTGCTAAGGAGCACCCATCAACCAAAGCCCACCCCTTCACCATGTTTCACACTCTCTGTCACTTCCCTTGTCTCAGCTTCTTTTTTTTTTCTTTTTCTTTTTCTTTCTTCCTTTTTATTTATTTATTTATTTATTTTGACAGGTAGAGTTATAGACAGTGAGAGGGAGAGAGAGAGACAGAGAAAGGTCTTCCTTCCATTGGTTCACTCCCCAAATGGCTGCTGCGGCCGGCGTGCTGTGCCGATCTGAAGCCAGGAGCCAGGTGCTTCTTCCTGGTCTTCCATGCGGTTTCAGGGCCCCAGCATCTGGACCACCCTCTACTGCCTTCCCGGGCCACAGCAGAGAGCTGGACTGGAAGAGGAGCAACCAGGACTAGAACCTGGTGCCCATATGGGATGCCGGCGCCACAGGCAGAGGATTAACCAAGTGAGCCATGGTGCCAGCCCCTTGTCTGAGCTTCTTGTTTCCGTATCCTAACAATGGCTAAGAGCAGAAGGTGCACCAAGTAGGCCAACGAGAGAAGTGTTGGCTCCTAAAAGTCTAGAAGTAAGCTTCGCCAGTTTGGGATGAGTGTGGCCTGGAAGAGGTTGAATGGAGTTGCAGGCAGGGCCGTGGAGCAGGACCCCATTGTGGAACCAGCAGATTTGCTTCTGGCCTCCTCCTCGATGACGGTGAGCTCCTCGGAGAAGTTGCATTTGCCGTCTGGATATTCCGTGTGGACAGGGAGAGGAGCCACGGTGCCCCTTCCAAAGATTGTGACCATTTGTTTGCACGCGCTTACAGACATGCTTATTAACATGTGCGCGTCATGGAGTGAGTATCCCAGTGGCACGTGCCGCAGGCACCAGTACCCTTCTGTGAAAGCGCCTTGTGCCAGTTGTTCTGGGAGCTCAGAATGACTGGTGATGCAGGTTGGTCATAGCGATGGTTTCCCACCTCGCCGCACCTGCTGTCGCCAGCACCTGCCGTCTTCCTTGTTCTCGGCACTCCTCGAGCTTCCTTCATTTGCTCTCGGTTCTTTAAGACCAGGGTTTGCAACTAGCCGAACTCTGGGGATTTGTAGAATGCTAGAAACACATATTCTTTTTTTTTTTTCAAGAAACATTTTTTTCTTTCTTTATTAAAAAACCAGCAAGTTGCCACTGCTGTAAGCCTGTTTGTCTCACTGATGTCCTTTAGGTGAATGAAACAGAAATGGACTTTGCAAAGCTCTCACTATTCACGCGGCACCCGGAGATGGAGACCTGGCCTTCCAGCCATAACTGGTTCTTTGCCAAGTTGAACATAACCAATATTTGGGTCCTGGACTACTTTGGTGGGCCTAAAATCGTGACACCTGAGGAATATTACAATGTCACCTTTCAGTAAGTATTCACACATAGTTCACCTCTAGAAGTACAGCCCTTGTCAGTGGGCTGCAGCCTTCCAGGGGGAGCCATTTCCGTGCCGTGGGCCCTTTTGGTACACTGGTGAAGCCTATGACCCCTCCTCAGAGTATTTTTAAATGCATGAAATACCTAGGAATATAAAGGAAACACATTTATAAAAACATTTTTAAATGTTTGCTGTAGTAATATCTTGCCTTTATAACATTATATGAGATCAAATAGTCTGTAAGTTTTTTAAAAAATTATTTAATTGAGCGGCAGAGTAACAGAGATGGAGAGAGAGACAAAAAGAGATTTTCCAACTGTTGGTTCACTCCCCCAAATGATCACGATGACCAGGGGCTGGACCAGGTCAAGGCCAGGAGCATGGAACTCTATCTGGGTCTCCCACATGGGTGCAGGGGCCCAAACATGTGGGCCATCCTCTGCTGCTTTCCCAGGCATATTAGCAGGGAGCTGGATCAGAAGTGGAGCAGCCGGGACTTGAACCAGCTCCCTGATATGGGATGTTGGTGTTACAAGCAGTGGCTTAACCTGCTGCACCACCACGCTGGCCCCTGTAACTTGGCTTTCAAAGTAGTGAGGACTGAAGACCGTGTTGTGTCACACCCATAACGTGAGATGACATCATCTGTGACTTCTGTATTGCCCTTAGAGATGGTCCCAGATACACACGAGGCCACCACTGTGATTTCAAAGGAAATGATACTTCAGTTAGGACTTAATGGAAGTGAGAAAGAGTCCCATGCAGGGTCACTGCGCCCCTAAACCCGGACTGCAGGCCGGGGTGCAGGTTGTAACCTTGTCCTTTTTTTTTTTTTTTTTTTTTTAAGATTTATTTGTTTTATTTGAAAGGCAGAATTACAGAGAGGCAGAGAGAGAGAGAGGTCTTCCACCTTCTGGTTCATTCCCCAAATGGCCGCAATGGCCTGAGCTGAGCCAATCCAAAGCCAGGAGCCAGGAGCTTCTTCCAGGTCTCCCACGCGAGTGCAGGGGCCCAAGGACTGGGGCCATCTCCTGCTTTCCCAGGCCAGAGCAGAGAGCAGGATCGGAAGTGGAGCAGCTGGGGCTCGAATCGGCACCCATGTGGGATGCTGGCACTATAGGTGGCGGCTTTACCCACTACGCCACAGCGCTAGCCCCTTGTCTCCCTTCTACTCCTGCCCTTCCGGTTACCTGCCCGCTGGCAGGCCAGACCCCGAATCTGCTGTGATTTACAATGTACTTCTCCTTGCAGTGCCCGCCTGCGGTTTGAGGTGGGGGGAGATCAGGGTGAGGAGCCCCAGGCAGATGTGTGTGCTGGAATTTTTAGCATTTGTGTATCCCGGTTTTATCCTATGGTGGGAGGGTGCCGTGGCGAACCTCTCCCTCCCTATCATGCTCATCCGTTCCTTGACAGTAGAGCTGGGGGACCAGGATAGCACGTGGCCCAGAGCAGGTGTCCAGGAAGCACTGGCTGTTTGTCAGGCTGGTTGTCTCTGACCAAGACTCCGGCAGGCCTGGCGTCTGTTTGGTTGCCACACGTTCCGGGCGAGAGACACGGGCACTCCTCTGCCGCCATGCTGCCCTGCAGGAACCGAGAGGTGACAGTTACAGCAGGATGACCAGTTACAGCAGGATGACAGGGCACTGGGCTATCCAGCATGAGAATAGCAGGGTTGGGCTTTGAGGTTAAAGTTCACTTTCCTGGGATACAGCAGTTAGCTTTGTATGTGCCCTAGGGCAGCACCATCTGAATAACAAAACTCTGTTTTCTCCTAAGTCCCCACCCTGAAAGAGAGAGTAAAGTACTTACTTTGAGGCTCCCACTTGATAACGGAACTTTTTCTCCTTGTCCCGAGAGGAGCAGAGTGTGCCCTCCGGGGTCCAGGAATGAGCAGTGCCTGCAGCCGCTGTGTCTGGCCAGGTGCCTCTGATGGACACATTGTCCACTCAGAGTCTATGAGCGGAACTCCCCCAGGCCACTCTCCCTGTTTGCCACCAGAACTGTTGAATTGAGAGAGGCTGGGGGTTGCCCACTTCGGGGGGAGCCACTCACAGGGGGCTCACACGCCACCCTGGACCTCCCCTAGATTGGCCGGCCCAGGTCAGCTTCTGGAGATAGCCTTTCTCCAGATTGCACAAGCCCCCTGCATCTGAACTCGGTTCCCCTCAGGGGAGCCTGGGAGCGTCAGCACAAGTGCGCTTGCTGGGGCTACCGTGCGGCCTGACTGGACCCTGGGATCCAGGAGCACGTTTGCAGGTCAAGTGGAAGGCCTGAGGATATGGACAAGGGTGTCTGCTGACGTGGCGGAGAACGCAGGACTCGGGTGTGAGGCTTCCCTCCTCCTGTCTCAGTGAAGCCGAGCAGCATAGATGCTTGCGCTGGGCCTCACTTGGTCTCCTCTGTCGCATCCAGATATTCCCAGGCAAAGACGAGGGTAACACAGGTGAGGACTGCATACTTGTCCGGTGTCTGTTACCTGCAGGTGGAGTTCCACACAGGGAGGTGGGCTGAGGCACCTGCCGTCTGGGCTCAGCGGAGTTAGGCTCTGGCAGGTCCCTGCTCGTTTGCAGGCCCCTGGCTGCTCTCCACCACCTCAGTCTTTTAAATCTTCCGGTGTTCCTCCTAAGATAACAGCAGCAGCCGCAGCCGTGGGCCTGCTTAGTGCAGGGAAGCGTTTTGTACCTGTGTCAGAATCCTTCCAGGTGGGAACGCCCGCTTGCTAGTGCAGCCTCCTAGACCCCGCCCTGCACCTGTGGGAACCAGAGCCCAGGAACCTGCATTTTAACAAAGTCTGTGCCCCAGAGTGGCCACCGTCAGCTCAACATCTTAACCTTTCAGACCAGAAACTTTCCCCAGCGTTCCCTAGAATGATCTAGCTTTTAGGATTTGTCAACCCACTTTAGTGAAATAATACTTGCTCCTCTCTCTTCCTCTTTCTAGGTGAAGCAGAGGACGGCGAGTTTAAGCCCCTGTGCTGATTCTGGGGCTGGCTCTTACATACCAGAAGGGCTTCTGGTCTACCTGGACAGTTTCCTCCGAGTATTAGCCGGCTTTCCATCATGCACTGGTTTGCTTGCTTGCTTATTTCCAGAGGAGTTGGCCCGCGACTGAATTTCCTGGGGGATGTGGCTGCTGGAAGTTTTTCGCACATCGAAGGCATTTTCACAGAGAAAAAGAGCTGATTCTAATAAAAGAAGTGTTTGGCCAGTTCCAGTGGTTTTCCCAGTGGTGCTGCAGGAAGGGGAGCAGGTGCCGGGTTTAGAGTGTGCCCTGGCGTCGGAGGGCCCGGGCCGTGTCCTTTACGCTGGAAGCCGCTGTGCTGGGGACAGTGGTGTCTCCTCCACCACAGCCTCCTGGACCGCCTGGGCTCCCGTAACAGCGTTCCTTGGCGACAGTCTCGCCAGAGCAGACCGTGAGGAAACATCAGCAGGGTCTCCTCCCGATCCCGGGCATTGCTGATCCCCCACAGGGCGAAACCACATCCTACACAGAACTGTAAGAAAGCTTTTCCTTGCTAAGCGACACTTGGAACAACAACAACAAAAGTTCACGCACCCTTTCCTTCATTTGATTTCCCCAACCTAAGTGGACGCCATGTAATCAGACTCCTCCACTGGAAACACAGGTGCCCATACATGGTACTATTGTGATGCTCCACATAGGGGTTGCGGAAGAGAGAGGAGAGGCTGCCCGTGTGTTCCCAGTGTCCTTTGATCAGTGGCGCTCACCGGGGCAGGAACCAGCTTCAGCCCAAGCCCCCTCCGCAGCCACGCCCCCTGGGTAACACTGCTGCTCCTATCCCAGTACTGCTACCTAGATCAGCTCATCAGGACAGGAACACGGCACTTAAAAAGCATTGTAGTTCTGCAGAGGAAGACACTGTTTAGTGTTGTTACCTATGTCAGTGATTCCTCTGAAGGAGGTGTGGCAGGAACCAAGCCATTGAATCCTTAAATGGCCCAAGGAAAGAACCCGCCTCTGAGCCATTGTGTTTGGCAGCTGCAGAATGAACTGAAATCCAGCAAACAGCTTCTGTTTCAGAAAAGTAATGTCTTTTAAACTTAGTAAAATAGACTCGCTCTAAGCACCAGTGATTAAAAGCAACATTTCCATGAAATGTGTTGGATTTATTTTCTTAAACCTGGGTATTAATATTTATTATGCTTTGTTTCATTGTGTACTGTCGAAAGCCGTGTATATTTTTATTTTAGCATGCTTTTTAAATCAGCCACTGCTGCTCTAGAGTGAAGCAAATAATATCATTTTTCCCAAGGGCAAAAAAAAAAAAAAAAAAAAAATGTGTCCTAAAATTTTGGAGATGGTCCACATACAGTGTGACAGAATTGGATTGAGGGGGTGGTGTGGCACAGTGGGTTGAGCCACTGCTTGTGACGTGGGCTTCCCGTATTCAGCTGCTGGTTTGAGTCCCAGCTGCTCAGTTTCCAATCCAGCTTCCTTCTAATGCACCTGGGAAGGCAGCAGAAGGTGACCCAAATACTTGGGCCCCTGCCACTCACATGGGAGACCAGGATGGCGTTCCTGGCTTCTGGCTTCACCCTGGCCCAGAGTGCAGCCATCTGGGGAGCGAACCAGCAGATGGAAGATCTCTCTGACTCTTTCCCTCTCCCTCTCTGTTGCTCTGCCTTTCAAATAAATAATTTAAAAAAAAAAAAAAAAGGAATTGAGTTAAAGACATTCATCACATTTTCTCCCTTTACCGACTTACTATGAGTTTTGTCTTCAACATCTGGCACCACCCAGGACCACATCTGTTTTGAGGAAAGATGCAATTATGCAAAGTCAGGCCACCCAGGTTTTCATGGCTACAGACTTCCGCTTGCAGAACGTCACTTACATTCTGTTTGGACACAAGAGGGCATCACAGGCTACTTTTTGCGCGGATGCGCTTTGCTAGTCAGCCTGGGCCAAGTTGCTGTGAGCTCAGCCGGAGCGCACTGCCTTGGTAGTGATGCCGGAGTGATGGCATCACAGCTGGGCCTGCTGCTGCTGGAAGGTCTTCATGGGGTCACAGTGCCTTCTGCCGTGAGCTCCCCACCCGGCTTAGGTCCCTCTCCCCGCCACCTTCTGCAGAGAAGGGACAGACCCCAGCTTTCACCAGATAGGGCGCAAGAGGGGAGAGCAAGGGTGGGCCCCGATCAAGAAACCATAAAACACAGAAAGGAAGTTGCAGAGGAGGCTGGAGGCCGCACCGAACCACGGCCAGCAATTATGGCTTCTTCCACCTTCTGGTCCAGGTTCAAAGTCCTTGCAGCTGTGCAGCGGGTGGGGGGAGGTGGAGAAACATCCCTGAAGCAAGGCACAGTACAGTGAGAAGTGCACGCGCACTCGGCCTGGAGGTGGCGACCATCGTGTTCCTTGGTAATCGGACGAAGTCGCAGGTAGTGGGGGAGACGCTTACTTGCCTATGTGGGTCGTGCTCTCAGCTTTAGTACGGAGGAAATAGTGCTCCTCTTCCTGCAAATGCTGGTTGGTCAGTGTTTTTGAGGGGAACTCCAGATCATTTCTTGAAAACTGGTGTTCTGTAATTTTTCATCCGAGAAGACGATTTCAAATCCTTTTTGGAATTAAGGGGGGTGGATAATAGCTCAATCACCAATGGTTTTCTTATTTTTTCTAAGTATTTATTGTAATGTATTTATACATTTTATATTTATATATTATATTTATTATATATATTATATAGATAGATATATATATTTCCTGAAAGGAAAACAGGAGTTGTGTTAACTGAAGGGGAACTAGACAGGCAGAAGCCAAGGGCTATGGGGTAGGCATTTTGCCCAACTGTTAGTACACCTACATCCCAAACCAAGGTTCATGGGTTCGATTCCTACTTCCGGCACCTGGCTACAACTTCCTCCTAATACATAGTCTGGGAGGCAGCACGTGAGGGTTCACGTAATTGGGTTCTTTCCACCCCTGTGAGGAACCTGAACTGAGTTCCCAGCTCCTAGCTTCGGGCTAGACCAGTCCAGCTAGAGAGTGTTTTGTGAATAGCGCTCATCAGCTTCTTAGGGACAAACCCGAATTATCCTTCACTCTTTTAATCTACACGGAAATCCAGATCTAAGCATAGCCCTCTCAGCAATGGACACGAAAGTTGAGTTGGCCCCATCTGCTCAGCAGGCAATGGGCCGATCTGCTGGACAGTCCACCCTGGGGACAGACCCTCCGGGTCCCTTTGCTTGGGCCCTGAGGACTGAGATTGTCAGGAACCATGGCTCTGACTTCTGGAGGTTGTTTATTTTATTTTAATTTATTTGACAGGTACAGTTATAGACAGAGAAAAAGGTCTTCCTTCCATTGGTTCACTCCCCAAATGACCGATACGGCCGGCGCTACGCCGATCAGAGCCAGGAGCCAGGTGCTTCCTCCTGGTTTCCCATGTGGGTGCAGGAGCCCAAGGACCTGGGCCATCCTCCACTGCCTTTCCGGGCCACAGCAGAGAGCTGGACTGGAAAAGGAGCAACCGGGTGAACCCGGTGCCCATATGGGATGCCGGCGCTGCAGACAGAGGATTAACCAAGTGAGCCATGGTGCCGGCCCCTGGAGGTTGTTTAATAAACTCAAATGAGAGACTTCAAAAAGTTCATGAATTATGGAATTCAAATATGAGTTTATTTTAGTGCAAAAACATTTTGAAATCCATGCATGTTTTTTTTTTAAAGATTTATTTATTTATTTGAAAGGCAGAGTTACACAGAGAAGGAGAGGCAGAGAGAGAGAGAGAGAGAGAGAGAGAGAGAGAGAGAGAGAGGTTGGTCTTCCATCTGCTGGTTTACTCTCCAGATGACTGCAATGGACTGAGCTGCGCTGATCTGAAGCCAGGAGCCAGGAGCTTCTTCTGGGTCTCCCATGAGGGTGCAGGGGCCCAAGGGATTGGGCCATCTTCCACTGCTTTCCCAGGCCATAGTAGAGAGCTGGATGAGAAGTGGAGCAGTTGGGACATGAACCAGTGCCCATATGGGATGCCAGCACTGCAGGTGGCAGCTTTACCCACTACGCCACAGCGCCGGCCCCTAGGCACATTTAAACCCAAGCTTGGCAACCTCCACTGAGACTTTGTGTGGCACCCCCGATGTCAGACCGCACATCACAGGCCTGGAGGCAGGTTTTGTCTCCTGGTTGTTCTGAGCCGCCCTGGCAGAGAGTCCTTGGAGAAGCGAAGGACTTGGGCGTGAGTTAGTGAGCATAGCTTTTATGTTCAGATTTCTGAGACTATGACTCTGTCTTTCTATCCCCAAAACGTGATATGGTGATGCTTTTCAAAAATGTCTGAATGAGGGGAGCGCAGCTCAACCACAGCACAGCCTCTGTTCCTCAGTGACTCAGCAGTGGGCATTTGGCACCTGCCAAGGGTCACCCGCACCCTCGCGTGAGATTTTGAGAGTCACCTGACTCCTCTTTATCCGAGTTCGCTCAGGCTGATGTAACGAACACTGTAGACTGGCTGGCTTAAACGACAGACATTTCTTTCTCAGGGTACTGGAGGCTTCAAGTTCAACATCAGGGCTGCCCGTATAGTTGGGCTCTGGGGAGGGCCCTCTTCCTGGCTTGCATGGCTGCCTTCTTGCAGGATCTTGGCACGCAGAGAGATTCTTCCTCCCTCCCGACACCCCAGCCCCCTTCCTCTTACAAAGTCAGAGACCTAGCAGATGGGGGCCACTTCCTGGGGACCTAACCTAATCTTACTGACCCCCTAAAGACCCTGTCTCCAGATCGCACATTTGAACTTGTGCAGAACACGGTTCACTCCACAGAGATTGCATGTGGGAGAAAATGAGTGATCAGGGTCTGTCCTCTTTCTTCAACCCAAACCTTTCATCCTCTGGGAACTGCCACCCTCCGGGGGGGGGGGGGGCACCCATGCAAAGGGATTTATCTTCCATGGTCCGCAGTTGATTTTTTTTAAACTTTATTTTTATTATTATTATTATTTTTACAGACAGAGTTAGACAGTGAGAGAGAGAGAGAGAGACAGAGAGAAAGGTTTTCCTTTTTCCGTTAGTTCACCCCCCAAGTGGCCTCTACGGCCGGCGCATTTCGGCCAGCGCGCTGCGCTGATCCGAAGCCAGAAGCCAGGTGCTTCTCTTGGTCTCCCATGCAGGTGCAAAGACCCAAGCACTTGGGCCATCCTCCACTGCACTCCCGGGCCACAGCAGAGAGCTGGACTGGAAGAGGAGCCACCGGGACAGAATCCGGCTCCCCAACCGGAACTAGAACCTGGGGTGCTGGTGCCACAGGCAGAGGATTAGCCTAGTGAGCCGCGGCGCCGGCCACAGCAGAGCATTTTGAATACAGCCAGAGGCAGCCTTGGACTGTGGGGAGAAGACCTCTGTGTGGTCCACTGGCGGCCAAGCAGTGGGAACAGCAGGGAGCAGCATGGAGCGGTTAGGAACAGGCTCTGCTGTGTGCATGCCGGCTCCTGACCCAGTTGTGCACTTGCCGTGTGTGGCCCTGGGCAAATCACCCCACTTTTCTGAGCCTGAGGCTCCCTCTGCAGAGCCAGAACAGGTGCTTCCCAGGACAGCGGCATGCCAAAGAGCAAAAATGTCCACTTATTGCTTAGCATAGCGTCTGACTGAGCAGCGACCATGTGGCGCTCAGAGCCAGTAAGGGAGGAACCCCAAGCCCTCTCTGTGAGGGTCTGGGGTGCGTCCTTGAAGGACAGTGAGTGTAGGAAGCTAGCACTCTGGCTTTGTGATGGTGCTGCAGAGGGTCAATCCCAGCCCATCACTGACTGTTCCAACTCAGACAAGTTGCCTCCTCTGTGGGAGCTGTGGGATTTGCATTAGTAAAGCGGAGAACTATAACAGTGCCCGCTCCCCTGGGTTGAAGGTTGTGGAAATAATTCAAGCTTGCACACAAAAAGTCTGTAAAACAGTTCTGGAGTATCAGACAGTAGATTCCAGTTGCATTCCTTTCCTTTGCTGCAAATATCATTTGGCAACTTGTAGGGTAAGCGTTTGCAAACATAAAGGTTGCAGTAGTCAAGATGGTTAATTGTATAAGACAAATTCAAATGTGGCTTATACATGTCTCACCCTTACACCAAGCCCGGGAGGTGGATGGGGCACAGGTTGTCCTCACGGAGGA